GACGCGGCGCCGGCGCGTCCTACGTCACTGCGCGGACGGCGCGCCCGAGGCCCCGCCCAGCTGGTCTCCGGTACCGCCCCTCGCGGGGGTTCGGCGTGGGGAGGGGCTCCGCGGCCTGGGGCGCCCACCGACCCACCGCTCCTCTACAGGGCCCGCACCTTGCACCCCTTCCCGGCCGGCGGGGACCGCTGGGGTCGGGGTCGCCAGCTCGCCAGGCCTGGCGTGGGCGACCCCTGCCCAGGCCGCGTTCCCGCCGGCCCGCCCTGCTCCATTGCCTGCTGGCTCCGCGCCTCCGGGTGCGGGTGCGAGCCTGGCTTGTGGGGCTCGGTCGAGCTGCGCCCCTGGCGGGACAGTCCGTCCTTCCTGACCCGCGCTCCCCGGACTGAGCCGCAGGCAGCTCTGCCCTCCCTCTTCGAAGGCGCTCTGCGCACCAGCCCCCACGGGCGCAGCCTGCCACCTTCTCCGTGTTCTCCTTGAGGAGACTGGCACCGACCACCCCGGGGGCGGAGGAGCCACCCTGGCCGCGGGCATCCCTGCCACCGCCTCCAGTTCGCGCTGGGTCCTGCCGGGCCTGCGGTCTTGCCTGGCGGATCCCGGTATCACGGTGCCGCCCCTGTGCAGCCTCTGCTCCGTCCGTGTTTCTCAGGGTTTTTGTCACAGCAGGTCTTGCCTCGTGCCTGATGGGGACTGTAACCAGGGCTGTGCCTTCCCTTCCCACGGGGCACCCTCTCCCGGGGTTTTCTGTTTTCTCTGGATGACAGGCCTCAGCCCCTAACTTACCTGTCTGGAGCTATTGACCAGGGTTTTTAGGTGTGCCTGTGTGTTCTCGAAATCCCGAGAGGACCGTGGCGGAGAAGGGATCGCTGTGTAGCCATCTGCTCTGGGAGTCGATTTCTTGCTTTCCCTCGTCTCTTTCCTGCGAGTGCATGTGCCCTGTGTCAAAAACCTAAGAAACAAAAAAACCTTCAGTTTTCTACCCAAGGATGAATCAGTGTTAAAGTCCCATCCAAGTCAAGATGAGGTTTCTTCGCATGTTTTTTTAAAAAACATTGCTAAACTACAGAGGCAGAGACAGAGACGGAGAACACACCTCTCCATGAGCCACGACACCACAGTTCTTCCTCGTTGCTCTGTTCCACCAGGATTTCGTGCACGCTTCTGGCGTGTTTTCCAAGCCACTGTGGCGGGATTCAAACCACTGTTGGCCTTGGAGAGCTGCTGCAGTCCCTTGTCCTTTATTCTTTTCTTGGGTTTTGGGGTGCACATGCTTGTGTACCCAGCAGGGTTTTCAGGCTGGCAGGTTCGAGACACACTGCATAGTCAGCCACGTGGGTCCAGCGCCTTAACCTCCATGCCACCTGCTGGCCCAGGGTCTGGCTCCAGCTCCAGCTCAGCGCCTGCGCTCTAGGACAGCCCGGTCCCGATTCCACTGGCCACGCCGTCTTCGGTAGCCATGTGTAGGCGGTGGTGGGGACGGGACGGGGCTTCAGCCCCTGGGCCGGCACCAGGCCTGCCTGTCCATGGTGACCGGTGACCCTTTGCCGTGTAGGTTCTGTGCCTGTGTCCCCTGGGTGTGGGCGTGGGTCACAGCTGCCTGTTTGCCTGGATGGCTTGGGACCCTGGCAGGTAACGCAGCCAAGGGGTGTTGCTCCCCACCACGGCCCCCCAGGGTCACAGGGCCTGCTGGGGCCACTGACCCCTCTGAGGTCCAGGTGGCCTCCATGGCTGCTGCTGTCTCCTGGCTGCAGGAACTCCCTGGGTCTCGGTGAATTGGGGGGGAGAGGGTGCTGACGTGGGCGACAGTGGGCTCCCGTCCAACCCCTCGTGCTGCAGCTGGAGCATGGGCCGAGCCGTGATCCCCTGCCTACCTGCTAGTGCCTGCTTGCCCCAGGCCCGGCCCGCGGCCTCACCCAGGACCCCCAGGCCATCCTGTCTGGTGCTTGTCACTGTCCTATGCCTTTCCGCAGGGCATGTGTGTTTCCTGGTGTCCTTACTTGCTTGGGGGGCTGCTAGCTTGGGAACCTCACCTCCGGCTTGGCAGGCGCAGGCCTTGGTGTGCACATGAGTGACCCGAGGCCCTGCCTGCCGTGTGCCTCCTCAGCCGACAAGACACCTGTGACGCCCACACCTGCCCTGCTTGCTGGCCCATCTGCATGGAGAATCCTGGAGACGCCCTGGCTGTGGCCCCTGCCCAGGCCCAGCCTTGGCCCATCCCCGGCCATAGTACCACTCAGCCCAGCTCAGGGTCAGGGAGCCGAGGGCTCGGGGAGCCCAGGCCGTGTTGTTTGGCTGTGCACATGAGTGCCCGTGCACACCGGCTCGCCGCCTCATGCAGTGTGTGAGGCGAGGCAATGCTGGGGCGTGTGTTTGCCGCAGACCCGTGCCTGTACATCCCACGTTTCGCCCACCTGCTGGAATTCGGGGACAAGAACCACGAGGTGTCCATGACGGCCCTGCGGCTCCTACAGCGCATGAAGCGGGACTGGATGCACACGGGCCGGCGCCCGTCTGGCCTCTGCGGTGCAGGTAGGCGGGACACAGCCCTTCCGGGTTGCGGCCTTGACCGTAGGTTCTCACCAGCTCGGTCTTGCTGGCTGCTGTGGTCACGCCTGCCTCAGAGCAGGCTCAGCCTGGGGCTGTGGTTGGACCTCCAGTGCTGGCCTCGCTGCCTCCCAGGCCCTCGGGACTTCCTTTTGCTCCTGCTGGCTTCACAGGTCCTGGGGAAAGGGCTGGGACCATCAGAGGCTACGGATCTAGCCTGGCTTCCTGTCTTGACCTTGGGGAAGCCACCTCTGGGGAGTGTCCGACTGGCAGGGCTGCCTGTGGTCGGCGTGTCC